AAGCCAACACAACTAGATATTGAGTTTGTCATCCACCACCTGTTGGATTTGGCGGCATAGCTGGTGATACTGAAGGCTTGTGGAGCCCAGACGGCTGTAGCAAATGGTTTATGGGTCCCATACTCATAACGACGCTGAAACGCGAATCCTAACAAGGCATCCAAATCACGGAACCCTTCCGCCGTCCTTCCGCGCCCTTCCTCCGGCGTTCCGCGAATTGAGCCCCACATCAATCTCCACGCATTTTAGGCCCGGGCCTAAAAACGATTTGTCCGGCCCTAAAAACGATTTGTTCGGGCCGAACAAATCGTTTTTGCTCCCGGGCACTAAAACGATTTGTTTGGCCCGAACAAATCGTTTTAGTGCCCGGGAGCTAAAACGATTTGTTCGGCCCGAACAAATCGTTTAGGCCCGGGAGCAAAAACGATATGTTTAGCCCGAACAAATCGTTTTAGTGCCCGGGAGCGAACAAATCGTTTTAGTGCGGCCCGAACAAATCGTTTTACTGCCCGGGAGCTAAACGAGTTGTTCGGCCCGAACAAACCCGGGAGCGAAAAACGATTTGTTTAGCCCGAACAAATCGTTTTTACGCCCGGGGAGCAATAACGATTTGTTTGGCCCGAACAAATCGTTTTGAGGTTCGGGGAGCAAAAACGATTTGTTTGGCCCGAGCAAATCGTTTTACGCTCAGGAGCAAAAACCATTTGGCTTCAACTGACAAGTAAATGTCGGCCCAACCGGCCATTTCAGAAGAAGCCCGCGTGGTGACTTGGTAAAGCACTCTGACTTACCCCCAAGCGAAGTGAAATGAAAGGTCTCAATTCCTCGGCACCGTCTTGCGGGGTGACGGCCAGTGAAAATCGTTTTGTTTTGTGGCCGGGGTGCAGAAACGATTTTGTTTGCCCGAAGAAATTGATTCTTGGCCGAAAACAATTGTTGGGCCCAAGCAAGGGCTGGGGAGCAAGAGATTTGATTTCTACACCTTTTGACGCTCCAAAAATGTTCCCCTTCCGCGCCCTTCCGCTGTGCAAATTTCGTAGTCAACTTCCGCCGGCCCTTCCGCAAGCTTCCGCGGCCTGCGGAAAACCTTCCGCGCGGATTGATTTCAGCGCTCCCTTACATAAATTGCTTTGAGCATTTTTGATCGCTGCTCACCTGTGCCCCCAAGGCACGACAAGCATGCGCGTAAGAAACGAGGCTCACCCGAAAGTTACCATAGCACTCATAGCACCACGGCTTTGCCCCTCCATTTTTTCGGGCAACAGGTAAACTACCGGAAGGCAATGCCAATGGAGATTGCCGGAGCGTGCTAACATGGCAATTTACCTTATGGCGAATATGTCCTGCAACTCAAAGGGTGGGATCCTTTAAAAGGACGCACTGCTGCGCGCTAATGCCAACCTGACGCTCGGTTCAGACACTACGGCCCAACGCGGGCCGAGGCGCCAGAAGCGGCACAAGCCAGCCAAGAGCTCCTGCACACGGAGCTAAGTCGGGGGTTTCCTGCGGGGCGTCTCTTCTAAACATGACCCCAAAAAAGAGGTTGATGGTCCTTTTGGTTCTCCGGAAAAGCCGGAAAAAACAAACATGGCCTCAAAAGACACCCGCGCACACGCAAACGCACACGCGCACACGCGCACACACACACACAGGGGTGTGTGTGTGTGTCTCAAAATACAGGGCTTGAATGGGTGGATGTAGGTGGGGCCAACCCCAGGTGCCATCCGACCATCACAGTAGGCGCGGTCAAAACATGCCTTTGGGGCTCACAATGGGCACGGGAGCGCACGTTTGGTGAGTCTACACAGGTCAGAGGCCAAGATTGTGACCGAAGTCATCACCGTACTGTTCGGGAACGGGCTTTCGAGGTTCCAGGCCTTGCCGGCCATATGAGTAGAGCTCCATCCAAAAGCCATGTATGGGATTGCCTGCCAAACCCCCCAAACCTTCCCCCCCCCCCCTTCCGCGTGGAAAAAGAGAAGGACCAGAGACAGGCAGCTGTGAATAAGAACTGGGGGCGCACAGCGAGGGCGGAGGTCTTGGGGGAAAAAACAACACCAAAACCAAATGCAGTCCAAGGGGAGCTTGGATTTAGAGGCGGCTGAATGACAGCATCGCCAGCCCGACCATGGAGTGTCATGACCCAAACGCAGGCCAGGTCCTGAAAACGATCTAGCCACAAATGCGCACGAGAGTGTAGGGCGTGCTGCTGCCGAGGGAAGGAGCGGGGATCGTCGATCCCTTGGGGAGGGCGGGGCAGGTTCAGCATAGAATTCCGAACGGATTTGTGAAATTCCTGAATACCTTCCAAACCACCAAAAGAGGCCCATCCATATTGAAACAAAAAGCCACAAAAAAGCGCCAGGCCCCGTCCAACAGTGCCTCCTCCTCCCCCCCCCAAACCAAAAAACGGTAGAAACAGCACACAGTGTTCCTCCGCCCCCCCCCCCCCGAAACCCTCCAAAAAAGGAAAAAAAGGGCACCCGCGCTCCCCTGGGCTGTGCGAACCCTTTGCCTCCGGCTCCAGCAACGGCTGCCAGGGCGCGCCGCTTCTCACCACGGCCCAGCGGGCGAAGTAGGCGCGCCCCAAGCGCCGGGGCACCGCGCCTCGGCGCAGTACGCGAAAGCGAAGCGCGCAGGGTGGAGGACCCGTCTGCTTCTTGTTGTTGTTGTTTTTTCTCGGTTTGGCTGAAAGGGAAACCAAAAAGCAAACGCGTGTGTTTTACCGTTTTTGGCGGTTGTTTTGGAGTTGGTGCAAGTTTCAGGACGGTGGTTTGGAGGTAAGCCAGAAGTAAAACCGATTTGACATGGTTGGTTCCGATTCCCATTTTGAGACACAAGTGGCGAATGATCAGAGAAGGCCCCCATTCGTTCGCGGGAAACCCAGTTGCTCCAAGGACCCACAAAAGGTTAACCCTTTCAGGAAAAGGGAAACAAAAGGTCATGTCAGGTCGATTCGCTTTGGGCTTGGTGAGTTTAATTGGATATCTGTATCTGTATACGTATGCATATATATATATACATATTTGCTTCAGGTTGGCCCCAAACAAACCAATTGTGGGTGTCCCTTTGGCTTCCCCTTAAAAACCAACGCCCGAAAAGGACAAGAACAACCAAAGAAACAATAGCCACTGGCTGATTTTTTTCCCTGCACTTCACCCCCTCCAAAAGAAAACAGCAACAGTGACTGAAAAAGCGATCGCAACTTGGCTATGTAGGTCTCCCCCAAAAAAAGAAGTTATATATATATATATATAAATTGTTTAAGGCTGGCCCAAACCGCATTGGCTTCCCCCCCAAAGGGCAAGAAAACGGGAAACAATCGCCACCGTCCCCAAAGATGTCAAGAAGCTCACAGATCCAACCAAAAAACCACGCCGGGGCGCCATGCCAGTCGCTGGCCGCGAAGATGCGGACCTTCGGGGAGGCCCCTTTTCGAAAACGGGCGTGCGAGCGGGCAGTGGTCAGTGGGGCGGAAGTAGGAAAAGAATTGGAACCCCATTTTTAGGGCGGCTTTTTTGGGGAACAAACGCCGCCCAGGTTGATTCCTTGTCCATTCTTTTTCAACGATCCTTCTTTAAACAAAAACGATTCCGGAGGTTTTCTAGAAAGAAGGATCCCTGGAAAGAACGGAATTGAAAGGTTGGGCAATTGCAAGTTGTTGCTGTACGGGGTGCTTTCGGGAGCCAGGAAACAAAAATGGATAGACAAGGGTGGGGGTTCCGCTGAAAACAGAAGTGTAGGCCACCATTGCGCGAAATTCGCTGAAACAACCAAACAACGGCCCCCTTTGAAGGGCAACCGAAAGGTTGTTGTTTAAAACCACAGGTATTTCAACCATGGATTAAGCAAAAGATTGGTCTAACCCTGGTTACCTTGATTATCCGTTAGGTCAACTGGTTCCCTTGTAACTATGGGCCTGCTAAGGTGGGCTGCGCGGCTGCAACCCAACCACCGCACCGCGACCCCCACCCGAACCCCGACCCCCGACCCGAGGCACGCCTGGCTCCCGCCCTCCACGCCCTCCAGCGGCGCAGTCCAAATCGCGTCCTCGGCGAGAAGGCGCAGAGGGGGGTGGTCCGCCACCCAGATCAGGTCCAAACGGCTGTACCTCAAGGACCCTCCCAGCGATTCCATGGGTTTGTGCACAGACCCCTGTAGAAAGACGACTTTCCTCTTGGAATTGGCCTTTTTGCACTTCCACTGTTCGTTGGTGGGAGGGGAGACGTCTCCCCGGTCACAAAAGCACTGACACTACCAAGACTCAAGAGGAAACTCATGTTAGGTGTACATGTGCGCAAGAGGTGATGTTCAACGCCACCAGGGGGCATATGCACATATATGAGTATTAATGTCTGTCTATCTATCTATCTATTTATCTATCCATCTATCCATCCATCTATCCATCTATCTATCTATCTATCTGTCTCTGTCTGTCTGTCTGTCTGTCTGTCTGTCTGTCTGTCTGTCTGTCTGTCTGTCTGTCTGTCTGTCTGTCTGTCTGTCTGTCTGTCTGTCTGTCTGTCTGTCTGTCTGTCTGTCTGTCTGTCTGTCTGTCTGTCTGTCTGTCTGTCTGTCTGTCTGTCTGTCTGTCTGTCTGTCTGTCTGTCTGTCTGTCTGTCTGTCTGTCTGTCTGTCTGTCTGTCTGTCTGTCTGTCTGTCTACCCACCTGTCCATACAAAGGCGGTCCTTGAATGCGACCCGAGTGACACCAGCCATCGGAACTTCCGACCCCGGCGCTGCTCGTAGGCCTCGCGAATTGCGTGAGAGGAGGTTTGGGATGTGGATGTGTTTTTTTGAACGCCTAGTTGCTTCAACTGTTACTGGTCGGGATTGCCAAGGGCCTTTGGATTCAAAGCCCTGGTTCTTGAGGGCCCCCTAAACTGCTCGTACAAAAATGACCTTCCGCCTTTTGGAATGAACCATAAGAAAAAGCCCGCAACCAGGAAACCATCTCGGGAATGGTTTCTCTCGGGGTCATTCCATTTCGCATTCCCTGCCTATTGAACCAGCAAGAAAAGGTAGCTCTTCTTTTTTCGAACAGACCCGGTTGTTTGGTGGTGTCAACGGAAACCCCCAGGTTGAAACCAGCTTCGTTCTTTTTTTGGGGGGGGGAGTTAGAAAAAACTGAGCCAACTTTGGGGAAAACCAGCCAGTAGTTCCCCCCCCCCCACAAAACAAAAAAAGAGCCCATTCTTTGCCCCCCCCCCCTCTCAAAAAAGAAAAAAACGGGGGAAAGGTCGGGACAAAAGCCAAAAAAAAAATCCCGGGAAAACCCGGCCAGTAATTACTTAGTCCCCCCCTCCCCCCCCACAAAACCCAAAAAAAAAAAGCCCCGCCCCGCCTCGGTGAGGCCCAGCGCCAGCTGCAGCTTCCGCAGGCTGTGCAGCTGCCCGGCCGCCTTGGAGCGCCGCAGCGGCGCCGCGGCGCCGCCGCCCAGGGTCTCCTCGGGCGCCGCGGCTCGTCCGCGTCAAAGCGAGCGGGCGCGAGCAGCGATGGATCCATGCGGGTCGTGGCTTTTCTCTTCTCCTTTTTTTGGAGGTACCCCTCTTTGGTAAAAAAAGGGGAAGACCAGGCGGGAAACCGCAATTTTGCGGAGTCCCCTAAAAAAGACACACCCATATGCGACCTTGAGAGGTAGAATCAAGAGAGTAATGGGATCCAACCTTTCAATTTGTTGTCTTTTGAAGCTTACCCTTTTCAGGTTTAGAAAAACGGACCCGTTCCATTTGCCAGCAATGGGTTAAGGCACGCTTCAGATTGCCTCTGTTTGGAAGGACCACTTGGGGTTCGTGTGCTCCACTGCCCTGCGAGGTGAAACACGGCTAGAAACTCCTTGGGTCGGTTTGGAGAGTCGGTCTTCATCCGCACCCCTCACAGACCCTGACATCCCGAACTTTCGTACAACCCCCTCCCGCGCGCTGGTTTCCTCCAAGGCCGTAAGGTGTTCGTGGGGTCTTGCTGGGAAAACCCGGGGGCGTAGCTGGCAGCTTCCCTTCCCGGGCACTCCCTTCCATCCTCTTCAGGGCCCCTTTCCAAACAAACACACACACACACACACAAAAAAAAGAGAAAAACGGAGAACGGCGAGTTGTTCAAAACAATGGTTGAAAGGAATGGACAAGAAACCAACCCAAGGACCCCAGACGTGCGCCTCCTTTATTTCCTCCCCCCTTATGCCATGCTTCCCCCCCCCCCCAAGCACAAAAAAGCACGCTCGAACATAGGTGAAGCCATAAGTTGTCGCCATTTCTCGCCACGAACCGAGGCGCATAGAGGTGCAGCGCCGGCGCCCGGATGCGGCGCCGCAGCTCCTCGACATCGAGGTCTTGGAGCATCCGCCCGATGTCTTTGCAGGGGTCCCTCGTTGGGTGGCTGGTCTCTTATCGAGGCTCGGTACCCTGCTTGGGTCCTTGTGGGGTGGCTGGTCCCTTGTCGAGGACCCTGAAGGAGTCCTTGTTGGGTGGCTGGTCTCTTTTGAGGTTCGGTGCCCTGCTTGGGTTGCTTTTCTAAAGTTGTAAACCAAGTAGATTGGGGGTTCCCGAGATGGCGCGCCTCTCTTCTTTCTGCTTGCGGCTCGGTACCCTTGTTGCGGGTGCCCCACCCCAAAAAAAAGAAAGGACACCAAGTGGCAAAGTACTGGATTGGAGAGACAAACCCATATCTCTCCCTTTAACATCACCCCAAGATGAAACTGAATCCGAAAGGCCAAAAAAAGGTCATGCTCAAACGGGCAGAAGAAAATCCAGGGCCTGGCGCCCATGAAACAGCCCACGACAGTCTACCAGGTTGATGTATCTGGGTCAGAGATGCTTGATCGCTGCATCTGCCCAAGGTTCTTCATCCCATGGTTTCCACCCCCAAGCCAAAGCTACTGGGAAGGGGAACAACGGAGTATCCGGGCGCGTCTTTCCTCAGGCTCCTTTTGTTTGGGTTCCAAAGGGATACCAACACCAGGTGGTTTTGGATATCCCGCGGTTCTACGGTGCACAAAAAAAAAGGCGCGTCGTCACTCTTTTTCCGGTTCCACGCCGCGCGCTGCAGCGAGGGCGAAGCCGGCCCGCCAGCTTCCATGCCAGGCCGGGGTTCGGGAGTCAGGCCATCACCACCCCTTGCCACGGATGATCCGAGATGTCCTCCCAGGGCTTGGTTGGGAGGGGAGCAAGAATCCAAACTTTAGCAGTTAAATTGGGATTTCAACCACTAAACCACCATAAGCAAAAATGGTTCAAATGTGTCCCAACAACAACCATGAGGGTTGCGAGGAAGGCCGCTTCAACTCAGAGCTCTGATCCTTTCCTTTAGAAACCCTGTAGGAGATGTGTCAAACCCCGTGTTTCCCAAGAGTCTGAAAGTCCCAACCTGCAGCTGGGAAGCACCAAGTGAACCATGGTGCAAAAAAGCTGCTTCTCTCAACAACTTCCTTTCGGCCGACTTAGAATGACAAGGGGCGCAAATGAGGGGCTGGCTATTCGACGGCTCTCTTTAAGCAATGGATCATTTGTCCGACTTCGCAGCCTGCAGGACACCACAACTACTAGGGCAACCACTGCCACCCAGCATGCGGATTAACCAAAACCCAGCATGCGGATTAACCATTACCCAGTTGAGAGTTGAGTTAATTTGGGCCTGGTCGGTTAAACCATTTGTTCCCAAATCAGGGTACCCAGTTTTTTGGGCGGCTCCTCGATCACAAGCCAAAGCAGAAACCGCCAAAATGGAAAATCCGGGAGAGTTAAACAACCTTTTCCACAGCCCTTCTTGGCTCCACCTTTTGAGTCGCACCCGGTTTTAGATGTTCCCGGTCTTTCGATTTGAGGATCGCCTGGGTTTGAAAGGAGGCACTTTGGGCTAAATAGAGATCACACCACCAATTTGAACTATTTTTTTTTCAACCCGACTCTTTTCGGCTCTCTTTTGAGGCCTAGGCTTCAAATGTCTCATCCCCCACCCCCCACCCCCCCACCCCCCCCACCCCCCACCCCCCACCCCCCGTGTTTCCCCTGTTTCGTCCTCCCGGCGGCCGCGGCAGCCGCCGTCACCGGTCCAGGGCTTCGCCGCCTCGCAGGCCCGACCTCGCGCTTGCTTTCTGCTCCCCGGCCAAAAGTGAAAAACTGTCAGTGGGTTTAATACGGATAAAAGTCATAACACTAGTGGTTTAGCTAGTAGTTTAGCTTCATTCTAGTGGTTTAGATTTTTTGACGGAAAACCTATTTGTTGGCAAAAAGTGATAAAGTCCTAACATCCATTAAACCCAACATCCTGCTGCAAGTTTAACTTTTAGTGGATGTTAGTTGGCAAAAAGTTACTCAGTCCCAACATCCCCTGGCAAAATGCACCAAAGCAGTTTCTGGTTTCCACAGTGGTGTGGTGGAAACGGGAAAAAGGGAAAACCTTTGGAGTTCTTCCCTGAACAGTTGGTGTGGCCCAACAGTTGGTGTTCCCAACAGTTTTTAGTGGATGTTGGTGTTTAATACGGAAAACCCGTAAACCACTAAAAACGATAGTTAGTTCGTTGGCAAAAAGTTAAGTCCCAACCTCCCCTGGCAGAATTTGCACCGAAGCGACCCGCGAAGCCGCAGCCGTCGGAGCGCCAGCCGAAGACGTGGTCCAGCGAGAAGCTCCTCGGGCGCCCAGGCGGTCGGGCCGAGCCAGAGCCAGGAGATGCCCCCGCAAAAAATAATAATATTATTAATAATAACAATGATAATAACAAAGCAAACAAACAAAGTCTCAAAACAAATGGTTGTTTGCTTCTTCTTCTTTCTTTCTTTCTTCTTTTTTTTTGGGGGGGGCGCTCGCAAATTGGCCCGGGTCCTCGGATCCGCTATAAAAAGTGACGGACATTTTAGAGGGTGAAAGGGAAATCAAATCACTGAACACCAACAAAAAACATCTAGGAATACCTTCCAATTCCGTTCTTTGCAGGGATCCTTCTTTCTCGACAGCCTCCGCAAACCCAAGGAAACGGCAGGTTTTTGAAAAGAATCATGGTTGAAAAGAATGGAAAAGGAACCCACCTGTAGAAAAAATTGCCGGGTTCCTTTTGTAAAGAGAGACACGCCCGAATGACTTCAGTCCCCAAACTGGAAGCTGAGCCCGGCTTACCCCCAGCTTGTCTACGTCCTCCAGTAAAGAGGTTAGAATAAGGGTGCCCGTTTTTCTGTAGTCTATTTTAGTAGAGGGACCCTCCCAACCAAAAAGTTGGTGAAAAAGGGCACCTAGCTGGGAGACCTAGTTGTCATAGTCTGCCTGCTCGGCCGGGGTCAGGGCGAAACTCAACAACTCGTCAAGTGAAGCTCTTCGAATTCGGGAAACCTGGTCTCAGGCTGGTTTAGAAAGGTGTTGAACTGAAACAAACAGGAATTCATGTCCAAAGTGCGCCCCCATAACCTTCAAATGCTGTGACTTTACTGCGGGTTGCGGAGCATGTCAAAGCCGAACTTGGTAATGATTGTAAGCGTCGGCTGCTAGTGATCATGTGGCCTCATATGTTGATGACCGGTTGGGGTCATGGCTAAACTCACGCAACCAACAATGTCTGAACACTTTAACTACCACTAAAATGCTCTCCCCCTTAAAAAAAAAATAACAATAATAAACAAGTTGGACGCCTCCATTCTCAACCAGGGTTTGCTTGCTTCCAGACATGTTGCTTGCCCAGCCCCCCCCCCAAAAAAAAAAAAACGCAAAAAAACATATGTAGTCCAGACTACACCATAGAGTGGTTGTTCCCCATAAACTGCCAGGTCGTGGCAAAAACGTTCAGTTTCTGACTTTGACCACCCCGAGAACCGTCATACCGAGCCCAAGGGACCCCCCCTGGGCGAAAGGGCCAAGCTAAGCTTTTCGTAGCCTAGGTCATAGCTTACAAGTGGAGTTGGCCTACGTTTTGTAGTAGAGAGGTTAAAATGAGGGGTACCAACTTTTTGCAGTCTGTTTTAGTAGGGGGACCGAATCTCCCCCAAAGAAGTTGGTAAAAGCGCACTACTGGGGGACC